TTAATAGGGAAAGAAAGTGAAACAATGTCATAATCCTAACAAAAAACATTCAAGACAAAAATTACACACTAAACTGCTGACAGTAGGAAGTAATTGGTGAATTTCAAGATCTTTTTTCATAATGTAAGCAATTTTTTTATATGATATATCACATATGCAAAATGTCCATGGGAAAAGCTTAATGCTTTACAAGGAACAGCCACAAACAAATGTAATAAGATTTTGTCCTCACCTATAATGCAGTTTCTACCTATAACAGAATTTGTGATCACTGTTCCAACACCTACTGAGGTTCCCTTACTAATTAAAAGATTTTCCTCTAATACACAATTCCTGTAAGATGGAAAAAATGTAAACTTAAGCTTGCTGAAATTTCATATAGTTTATTAGAAGGCAGAGTGTAATGAGAATGAATGGGGCAAATAATAAAATACATGTAAGATAAGTACAAGTTTATAACCTACCTAGCAAGTGAGAGCTCACTGTCAAGGTAAACATTGTGTCTTGTAAATGAGTAGGAGTAGTCCATGAAAAATGTACTATTGTCAGGTACTATTGGATAGGCCCATCTACTAAGAATGTCTTTACTATTCGAAAAAAATTAAAAACAGTAAAATTACAATATAAACATTTTGCACTGTGTGTAATTTCATTGAGTTTGTTGATGCATTTGTGAACAATACTCTTACAGACACTACTGTTTCCTGAGAGAACCTCTGAATAGTATTTACAATAACCCTTGGATTTGATTCAAATTTACTTTAAATTGTCTCAAAAATATATCCAACATTCCAACTGCAGTATATCTTTAATACACTTAAGTATCTCATTGGAGTTTTACAAAAAAGTATGCTGGTCACTAGGTCAAAGTGGAGATCAAATTCTTGAAGAAAACATCGTTATTTAACACATCAAACAAACTGTCAATAAACACGGTGATGGACACTTTTCTTACCAACCTGACTGTGTCATACATGTAAGGGTTGGACACTCTAGCAGCATACTTGTCACTGATTATGTATGAATGAATTTGGTTACCCATGATCTAAAAGAAAAAAAAAAAAGAAATTACTTACAATGACTTAGAAGACTGTAGTTCTTAAGATCAATTTTTCAGATTTGAATCAAGACTACATCTGCTCACCAACGCTTCCACTCCCAAGCTCTTACCAAGTAATTCTGCTTACTGTCTGCCATATAATTCTTATCATTTTACCTTGGAGAGTTTGTTATTGGATCAACTAATCACCCCTGATTGATATTTTCTACATTCTCATCACTTATCTGCTTCATACTGTATTCTATTTTAAGGAGAAAATTAATTATATCTTGGTTACTCATGGGGGTTACAGGGTTAACTTAACTTACACTTTCAAGTTCCATAAAAATGCACTTTTATTTTATTGTGCTTACCTCCTCATTTACAAGAATTCCTCTAACAAAATCATCTCTGGTTTGATAATCAAAATTGTCAGTAAATAACTGTGGAACCTGATAAACAGAAAATTATGAATACAAAATTCATCACTAACAAAGAAACAAATTGAAATTTTTATGGGAGCTGTTCAATTCATAAGGAAAAAAAACAACTACCACAGAATAGACATCAACTCACTGTAGTTGAACATATGCAAATGTTACAGTCCAGGAGATCATATCTGATCTGGGTATTGTTGTTACCTGAAAATAAACTCTGAAAGAGAAGCAAAGACAGAGAAATTGTGATAAATTAAAGAACTGATACACAACAATAAACAATAAGACCACTTGATATTTACAGTTATTGTTTTTTGGATATTTGCATTACCAAAATTAAGGGAAAAGATATAGAGTTTATCCTCACTTACCAATGGAAATGAAAATCTCTTTTTGTTTGCTGTTTTTTCACACAGAAGAATTCTACCTGTTGTTGAATCTAAAGCAACTATGAAGTCCTCCTCTTGGCATCTGAAGCAAGTGTAAAATTTAATTTAGATGCAATTTTATGACTAAATCACTGCCAAAATGTTGCTTGAAACTGGACCATGCACATCCCTCCTTTGAAGCTAATTGAGACACAACTTAGCATAATAAAATTGAGCTACTGGAAGCACTCACTCCTGTATCAACCCTTTACCCCCTAACATCAGTATCCATGTTCTCCATACTATTCACTATACATTTCCTGAGGTGCTGACAAAGAGAATTTGTTTAATAATCAAGAGCTACTTTAGTTGGTGATCATTTCCTTTATTCTCATGACCTTCATGTTTGATTCATGGGTGATATTGTAAGGAGAAGTTAGATGCTAGTTACTCCTAGGGGTTAAAGAGTTAAGAGTGGCTTAGGGTTAGTGGTTAGAAGGTAGGAAACTAGAGTTAATAATCCTGGTTTGCATAGCATGACGGGACTTGGAGTATTACTATTACTCAGGCTTCCCTGATAGTTCCCTGATACCCACTCATACTACTAGGTGGAGAGAGCCACTGATAAAGTAAGTGATTTATGCAAGATCACAAAGAAGTGACTCAGCCAGGTCTGGAACCTGGACCTCTCAAAAAAGGAATCTAATACACTAACCATTAGACCACCAACTTTCCCACTTAGTTGAAGTCAAGGAAACATAAAATGGTAATAAGAAATCCAGATGGATACTTACCTTGTTCTATGTCCTGGATTAGCAACTTTGAATACCATTGTCATCAGCGAAGCTTTGTCCTTTTTTCCTCTTTCTCTAGAATTGATACAAAATTCATGTACCTCATTTCTAAATATACATGAAGATGTATGAAACTACTGACAGTACTGATACTACAGCATGGACTCAAGTTGACTTACTTATGTTCTTGTAAGACTTGCTCCAATTTCATGTTTGATACCACATCACCACTCACCAACACAAAATCGTTTTTAAGAAGAGACTTTTAAAACAAAAAATAAACAATTTGAATCAACAGTTCAAGGTAACTGTATTTTTATCAGCTCTTAAAGTAAATAAAAGTAGAACACCTACTGCCAGGAAAGATTTTCTGTTGCTAAAGCCCACAGGACACACTTGGCATTATTTTATATGCCAATTGCTAGATCAGCAAAAATTGCCAAGTGTGCCTGGTGCAGCAATGATGACTTCGTCTGATGAGTGATCAAAATATAAAACCACTAATATCTGGCATGTCAGACTGGTATATCAGCCATTTTCCCTAGAGATCAAATTTAAAGCAATTGGCAAATACATATGCATCAAAGGACTTTGAATAGCATATTTAGAAAACTCTTGGAACATGTCTGCTTCAAATTTTGACCAAACTGAATTTTTTCATAAATAACTGGATGGAAGTAAAAATTATAAAGGAAAAGATATCTCAAGCTGAAAATCTGAACTCATCAACTACTTTTAACTCATCTTGCTCCAGGCACATTAAAGATAATTAGATTAAATTAAAGATAAAGATAACTCATCAAAATTTGTCTTTGCCGTCAAACCTGTCTGTCAATTTCTCGAAGAACATCACCCAATGACAAGCAGTCTTCTGCAACAATTGTTTTCACTTCACAGGGTGACCTTGAACTGGTCCATTTTGACTGGCTAGAACATAGACAATATATATTACAGTGACAGTTTGTACAAGAGAATCAACAAAAGGCTACCAGTTTTTTAGTACACCAGCCCACTAAAAAGACAAGCAGTGGCTACAACCATCAAACTATAAGCACATGATTTTTTTCGATGAAGTATAGCCATTGGAAGCATGTCATAACTCTACAGACCTTAAATGTTTCTTGATCTGGTCAGCATGTGCACAGCAGAAAACAAAGATTTCCTGTACTCCTGCCTCCACAAGGAATTCAATGGTGTAATCCAGAAGAGGGACATTGACCAATGGTAACAAGGCCTATGGCGATCATCAAGACATAACCAGCATTAAACCCTTACATAAACAGAAGTGATTAACATGTACCTTCTTCATTTAATATCCATTGATCATTCATTACCCAGCAAACAGGTCACAAGAATACTCAGACTTATTATGCAAAAGTTGTTGTCTTGATCTAAAGCGAATTTTGTAACTAATTTACAAGGCAATGTGTAACAGCGAGAGGAGAGAATTAACAATCAGATCATGGGGGTTAAAGGGCAAAAAAGAAAAAGTCTAACACCCCTTCCAAACCTATTCCTCATGATCTCTAACCAAGTCTTCCCTTCAAATGTGCTTTGAGTGTTATTCTCTCCATACATCATAATTTCTTCTTGTCAAACTCAAATCAGGAAACTCGACTTATTACATTAAACGTCTGTTATGGCTTAAACAGCTTTTTAAAAGCTATTACTGATCGCCTCCATAATTATTCCAAGTTAGCACCTAATTCCCTCTCTATTAAGGCAGGTATCCTTAATATTTCAGTCATGAAAGGTAAAAGAAAGCTAGAAGAATCATGAATGAAACCTCCATAGGTGATTCGAAGAGATTTCCGTATAACCCCATACTACTCTAAATCAAAGCACCCGTCCGAAAGGTAAACTTATGTTTCCGCCAATGTTTTCTTTGTAATATATATGTATGCATAATAAAATATGAGCCATTACGGAAACCTCACCGCAACATGGGAGACCACAGCCCACTCAGCTTCTTCTTAATCGATTTCCAGCAAATTGAATTTATGACCAGATCAAAATAAATCGAAAGTCACAACACACGTGACATGTACATTTAATGACTTCACTTACCCTGGGTGTTTCAAGAGTTACTGGTAAGAATCTGAAGTTGAAACTATCCGTGAGAATAACGCCTTGAAAGATCTCCTCTCCTTTTTCCCATGACTCCCCCGATTTTCCCTCTCCTTTTTTCTTTTTCGAAGTCATGACTTGGTTGAAATGAATATGGCGCCCATTGATTCAGACCTCCCTTATTATTAGAAACGGAAATTACCGACCTTTTTCCGATCTTAGATCGACCTTATTCGTAATTTCTCGATTACAACCCGAAAGCATAGAATGAGCCGCAAACAAAGCAGCGGTTTTACCCAATTCTTTCTCTCCACGTCTCTGCTTTTCACCTCTTTGTTGATCTTTGTGTAGTTCCAAAATGGTGGGTATATGTCTTGCAGAATCTCTTGAGAATCTTAGCCATCTTTGCATTGTTAGAGCAGGAAATAATATAGATAGAAACTTTATTTATAGGAATTCACCACTGATTTATTTGATGTTTGATTCTCAACCACAATTCTTATATTTCAGGAGGGATTATCGGTTGACCAGATGAACCGATATGCCAGTCCAATCAATCCTGCGGTCTTTCCCCATCTGACTGTTGTTCTGCTTTCTATTGGAATATTCTTTATGGCCTGGTTCTTTGTGTATCCTTTTAAATGTAGTCTTCATAAATTTGCCTACGTAATGTAACTTCTATGTTGAGTAGATCGTACTACATACCATGTACTGTACTCTAGAATTTCAGAACAGTGCTTCCATCCACAGTAGCGTAGAAAAGATGACAAGGATTCATGTTGTAAACTCATCGAGATATTCTCCGGTAATCAATTTATCAATTTAACAGTTTTAGAATTAAAAACATAAATCTTTCTGACTTTGTTGGATAGGATCAATACTTTTGTTATTATTATGATATGAACTTGTTTCAAAGGTACACGTATATTTAGAATTGATTTCGAACTGATGTGGTTCGAGTCACCAAATAACTGTGCCAGGTCCTTTCCATTTTTTTACTTTTACTGACAGTTCAGTCGATTCTTTTTTTGTCGGATCCATGTAGCATTTAAGACATATGCAAAAGTATAATTTTTGAAGGTATTTCTTTAACGATTACTGCAGCTATGAAGTCACTTCCACCAAGTACAGTAGAGATATCTACAAGGAACTGCTGGTCTCATTAGTGGCATCTCTATTTATGGGATTTGGAGTGCTTTTCCTGTTACTCTGGGTTGGAATTTATGTATGACAAGAAGTACATGACCAGAGAAACCATCTACAAAAACAACAGCCACACTATAACAATTTTCAAGAAAGAAAAGTCTTGCTGAGCATGGCACCTCTCATTGTGGACACTTGTATTTTACTAAAACAGAATTTCCTAAACGATTGTAATGATAATAAAGAAGTTTAGTTGTATTTGCTAATTTTGAATGAAGTCCAGTTTTATTTGTGTGCTCCAATTGTGGCAGTGCTTTAGTGTGTGGTATTTAGAGGCAGTAAGCTTGTCAGATCAATCTTGGTCCCACACAAAACACGAGGTTAAGAGAAAGAGATATTAAGTCATGCTCTATGGAAGTATTAGAAAGCTGAATCTCATAACCAGGCAGGATCAGTACTTCATTAGTACAGCATTTCTCATTCCCAATTTCCCTCCCCCTTCCCTTTATTTCCTTAATTACAGCATGGCCTCTGTTATTTATTTATGGCTTTATAGAAATATTAGATGTGGGCAGGGAGGGTGATTTTCCAGCAAGGGAAATATCGTCATGATGTTCAAAGCAAGGCAGGACTGATATTGTGCAAGTAGAAGCTCCTTCTGGTGAGGCTTCTTCACTTTTTATTCTATTTTTGTTTTTCTGTCATTTTTCTTTCTGTAAAAGGTAGGTAGAGTCTTATACTTGAGCTAAGTGGCCCAACCCATCTAAGACTCATCTCGGTTTCCTGAGCATGAAGTGGCTAGAACTATCAGTACTCCTCCTGGATAGGATGCTGGTCTATCATGAGGTTACCCTCTGGCATTTCATCAGGCTTCCCTAGCAATTTGCCGGTACCCATTTATGCTCCTGGGTGGAGATAGGCGCTGTGAGAGTAGAGTGTTTCATCTGGCCAGGTCTCCAACCCTAACACTTGACCCTGAGTCCAGTGCACTAATCATAAGGCTACTTCATCTCTCAGTTGTTCTTTATGTAGAGAAGTTGTAACATTGATAACCTAACAATCTTCGTTTGTGTAGGGGGCTTTCGGTCTTACAATTTGCTTCATTGGAATGATGGTTAAGTAAGTAACTTTTGTAGGTCTGCAGTAATTTTGCAGCATATCAAAATATTTTATTCCAATTTTTAGATATATGTATACATGCATAATTTTCTAAAAAGTTAAAACTTCTCTATTTGAGCAGCTTCTGTGGAACCTCAAGGTCTCAGTCTTCATTGATAAATCATTTTATATACATGGTAACAGTTTTATATCCATCTTTCAGTGGCTAGAATGATATGTAATTAACACCCAAGTGGCATCCATTTTTTGATGGCCTTAGCTGGGGCCAGTTTATCATTAATTTCTGTGGTGCCATCAAATCCCCGAGAGGGTTTGCTATGTGTGTACAATGAAGGCAAACAACCAGTGGTTCAATGGCTATTTCCTGTGGCTTCAAAGAGGTTATGGCTTTTATAGCCAGCGTTTCAATGCGTCCCACACTTATGAAGCAACAGCAATACAAGACTTGTACACGGAGGCTTATTCAAAGGAATAAGACATACATAAAGCTGTTGTTGTTAGAAATTGGACGGGAACAGACGTCTCACAGCTTTGACTCCTGCCGAGTGCTTTTGTCACAGGTTTTCGGCTACAATGGTGACTGGTAAATTTGGAAACAGAAGACTATAATATTATCAAAGATGAAGGGATTAGATTTCGCTATTTATTGCCAATAATTGGCAACCGACAGGATTTCAACCCGATATGTGTCCTCGCTGCTAACGGGTTTGCTAATTCATCGTGGTCTTCCTTGAAGTCTGTTAAATGCATTGAACTCGGACCCGAATTTTCTCTTAATTCGCCGAACGATGTGAATAAAGGAACTGTGGCTGATCTTTTGAACGTTTCATGCGGACTTGTTGTTAAAGTATGAGACCGACGCATACGGTGTCCTGTGTAACTACACCTGCAATCTGGACTGGGGAATGGCGTGACGGCACTGCACTGCGTAGCAAGGGACGGTGAATGGCTTCTTACCGAAGGTGGCTGGGCGGAATTAGCCCGTTCATGGACTAATTTAGTCGAGTTTCCGCTTCGCTGTGCTAAATTGGGATACACAGGACTGACCTGTTGTAACCTCCGCCTTTCTAGTCCTATTTGCGGTGTTTCCCGCACTGTTTGAATACCATTCAATTGCTTTACAAGTGTTTGCTGTTCTTTGAAGATGTTGCGATTTCTTATCACGTGTTCTAAGTGTATCGATCGAAGTTGGTCCTGTAGTCGTCTGTCTTCCAAGCTATTACAACGGCGAACTCTTGCCACACGATTAGAGAAGCACGAGGGAGGATCTCTATTAAAGATGGACAGGTCCCCTTTACGCGTGATCGTCCGGTTTGACATTCTTCACTGTCCGAGTTCTCCGAGCGGAAGTTCGTCGGTTCTAATCGTTAAAATCGATTCCAAATAATTCTTACCAAAGCCCTACTTACTTTCCATATCAGTTCAATCGAAGTCCTTTCATCGATCGCAAATCATCATGAAAAAAACAAGCTGATGCCTCTTTGAACTAAGCTGAAAACGAGGCCTTTTGAATCTTTTCCGTTGTCTTCAGGGAAGAAGGCCAGTTTGAACGTTTTGCCGAACTGAAATAAAATCCAACAGGAAACGTCGCTGTTTGGTGGACTCTTTAAATTTCTCAAACGGTTCCACAGATGACACACAGTTTCCCTTAGACCGTTTCTAAAGTCTTGTTTTAACGCTGTTCCTTGTCTTGGCAAAGTCCTCGAATAGATTAGTCGATAAATACCACGCGAATTCTTGCTATCTCATTTCATACATGTGCGGCTTAGTGGTTCGATTCATCAATCATACAGCTTGTTTGTAACCATGGTCTCTTAAAAGAAATGGTTCGTGGGATAGCGCAAAAGCAAAAATGAACGTATTTGGTAATCTGTTTAGATCTTGGCGTGCGAAAGTGGTGCCAAATTTACCGATAATTATCTTGGTAGCCTAAGAGACTAGATATTGTTGTTAAAAAGCAATCAAGAGAAACCTTAGATGACCACAAGTAACTGAGACTAGATATATCATCACAGGTATAGAATATCATTGAGATATCAACAAGCTTTGATCTCTATGGTTTCTTATTAAAATTCTTTAGATTCCCTCCAAAGGTCTCTGCAAAGGAAGCATATCAGTTCCGTCTATCATCAGGCAGTCGTTATGTAACGTAAAGTTAACCAAACAGTTGCAGCAAAGTCATGATTCTTAACTTACCCACCAAAACTGGACCGAAGGAGGGTATCTGGTTAAAAAGAATAAATACTGTTAGCTAGATTAGAAGCCGGGCTTGTGCCTGGCAATCACGAGTAAGTAAAGAAATAGCATGCACGTGATCGCGCTATCGAATTTTCCCTATTGCGGGTCAGTCACCGGTTTCAGTCTAAGAGAGTCCAGTGCCTCAGGGAGTTTCTTAGCATCATTTAGTGTTACTCAGTACCATCCCAGTGCATGATTCATGATGAGATTGCGTAATATATACAGTATTTTGTTACTTGTCAACCAACAGTTAATGTACTGACTGTATGATAGTGTTGCAGATAGGGAAACCGGAGAGTCTCTAGCGACCTGAACCCCTAAGTTTGAAGGAAGGTGTCGATGTCTAAAGGCCTTCGAAAATCTAAAATTTCCTGCAAGTCTTTTCCTTTGATTTGTAATCCGCATATCGAGGAGTTTTGTCCGCGATTGAATGTTTGGCGGTTTCGTTGCAGAATTTGCGGCCAGCCCTTTTGCTTTTTTAAAGAGAGAGCGTGGTTCATGGGCGAAGAAAGGTAGGGGCCTTACCCAACAAGCCCCTTCCAGCCTTCGGCCGAAATCGAACTTAGGCTCCTCGACACAGGCGCTCACGCTGCTTTGTTGTTAGAGATTTGAAACATGTCCCAGAGAAGATTCATTCACCCATGACTTGAAATAAACTGAGTAAACAACTGTCTTTCCTGATCATCAGCAAAATCTTTAAGATTGACTGATGTAAACTAGTGATCAGCATTATGATGAATATAAAACAAAAACTAATGTGAAAGTTAATTAAAATAGGGCATTTAATCGGTATTCTGAAAATGGTGTTAGTTGGGGATTAAGCCTAAGCTGACTGCATTAAATAAAAAGTCCCAGATGGTAGGGAAACGCTACAGGTGCGTGACATTTTCATGTAAAGCTCTGTCACGCAACCTTAAGCCCCCCATAGTAAGTCATAAATTCTGGTTTAACAATGACGTCAATCACAATGTAGCTGATTTATTTTTTTTAAGGGGGAAGTGAGATGCCGTCCTGATTTTTCGAAGAAACCTGACTATCATACGTCGAAATGTTTTCACTGCAGCTCGTGCCATGAAAATCGCCATCGTTCACGATATTTTCGTTCATAACAATGTTCTCTTCTCTCTCGCAGCTTGAGCTATTTGCCTGTTCATCGTCAAAGACGGGTACACAGTTGACTGTCAAACTTCTTTGCCTCCGGAAAGTGGTAACCTGGTGATAGCTGTTTACACCCTTGCTTTTATTTTCGCCGGAGATTTCGACCACTTGTCCATTAATCACTGTGGGTCTGCAATTTGTAGTGTGGCGCCTCTTTCCTGACTTTGCAGCCCTGGTAGAGCACAAATCTTGAGCATTAAGTTTGTTTTGTTCCGGCCCTTGACACACGTCGAACGCTCTTCCTTCCGAAATATTCGGTGCACAGTTGCTGCTATAACTGCGCTGTCTTCGTTCTCTCGTACCTGATATCTGGCTGCTCCTCATCTCTTCACCACTCTTTTGCCAGCTGTTATCTCTAAATTCTGACCTTGGCATTGTCCAGCCATCTTTATTCAAAACGTGTCTCCTTCCTCTCCAAGCCCAGCCTGGGCTTTGTGAGAATTCGCGGTTCAACTTCACTGATCTACATCGATGATCTAGCCCTGATCCCTCGTGTTCAGTTCCGTCTGAGCCCAAAAGGTCACCTTTTTCGATGCTAAGTAGTCCGTCACTTCTCCTATTTCCTTCCCATGCGGATATCTGTGGATAAACACTAGTGCTGAGGCTTCTCTGGCATGACTTCATATTTCGATTGACAGAGGCGAGATTCTTGGGCCAGAATTCCGAAGGCATTGTACAGATATTGCTGTTGAGACCCAATGGCTTTTTCTGAACGTTTTTTGAAAGTTCTTCCTCTCCTGAGCTTAAAGACGCAATGTTACTTTGGCTCTTGGATCTAAAACACACATGCGGAAGCTTGGAAGAGGAGCTCTTACTGTCACTGTCACCAGTAGATAATGAACGGAATCTTTCCGCTTTATGCCCAGTTAAGCCGTATTGGCGAGTTTCTTTACAGGAGATCTGTTGGAGTAGCTTCCTCCTTTCGATACCAATAACTGGATTTTCTTTTACCTGTCGTATTTCACTGAGCTCTTTTCTCAGCATCTGTTTTTCGTGTGATATACGTGATTTGAAGTGCTCCTCCTCTGCTTTGAGAATATTGAGCTGTGTACCAAGGCGCTGGGATTCCATTCTGTTCAGACGGCGAATCGTGAAAACTCTGTTTGAAATAACTGAAGGGCTGTCCTCTTTCGGGGGAACCCAACCGTACGACATCCTTATGTTCTCGAAAATGAGTCAGATTTATTTTGAGTCAATATGTTTATGATCGCTTATTTCTCGAGAACCCCTTTTCACTAACCCAGCGTCGGTTTGTTTGAGCCAATCAGGCTTTGCGCTATACTATTTAGCTTCGCGTGCCGTCATTTCAATGTTTTCAGCATAGGTTATGTGGTTAATTAAGGGCGCAGATTAAATCCCAGCAGTAAACAGCTCGATATTTAGGTGCCTAATTCGTCCTAGTAAAAAAAATTTACCCGCAAATTAGGGCAAAACTACTCAAAAAGGGACATCAAACGAGTTTTCACTTTGCGGAGTTTCAAGGTTGTAAAGGATTTTTATCAAAGTAATATATCGGATCTCTAATTCTTGTCATTTAATTTGTCTCTCGTCCAGTAATCTTGAGTGCAGATCCTTCAACTCAAGTGGCAAATCCGTATACAAACTAAATAAAATAGTTTCGCTGTAGAAACTAATTAGTCTTCAAAATTGATACTTGACACCGAGGTGCTAAGTGTGATCAAGAGTAACCATGATATGATCCTCTGCAAGTTCCTTTTTTAAAATTGGTAACTTTGGTTTCTCGGTTTTCATACTCTTCTTTCAGTAAAACGGCGTTCATTGCGACAGGCTGCAATGAAATCGTTGTGTAAACCTACTTTGTATGTGAGACTGTGTAAAGTTTAAAAAAAAAAATGATCAGATTTTCTGAATGCAAAAGCACTTATTTAGTTAAGTTCACTTATCAGCAGTGTCAACTTGTCAGAATTCCTGTGTAGTCACATATGATCAGCTTTTAGACTATCTCGGCCTTTCGTACGACAGTTGAAAGATCAAGGCTTCATCATGTGTTGGCAGAGAAAAGACTGGGCAGAATAAATTTTCGCACTTGACATGCGTGTTGCAATTGCGTTCAACATGTCAACATGGCGGACCCACTGTTCGGTTTCAGTTCTGAGATTCCGGTACACTTTTAATTGTCATTTTTTTTTTACCGTAAAATTTTGTTGCCTATAATAGAGGAGTACGTAGTGATTTGAAGTCAGTATTGTACTTTACTAGGAATATATTTTCATTTTAAAGGCGTTTGAAGACGAAGCATTGTCTGAATTGGACCCATCGCTGACGAATCTCGCAGAAGGAGATGAATATGATCAACTAAACGACGACACATTTGGTGACGGAGCATTGGGTAAATTCTCTTGTTAAGCGTTTTAGTGTTAATTTTAAATGGAACTATTTAAAAAGTGACTTGAAAAGTGATTTCCAGATAGAACCACGTGGTAAATTAAATCCACTCAAAAGTGCAGTGCGTACGTTGAATTGAACAAAATTGTTTGTACTATACGCTGTAATGAAATGAAATCCTGTTCTGATCAAGAGGCAGTTTTACGCTGTCTTTTTCCTTTTAAGTTTTCTTGCATCATGGAAGAAACATTTAGTGATATTTTTAGCATATGTTGTTTTCGTTTGGGTTTTTAAAGGAGGTTCGTTTCAGGAAGCTCTCAGCGTGGGCCTCCTGGTCATCGGAAACTTGCGTGCACAACTATCCTACGATTTAATTCTGTCTTTTAGTTAAATTCTGAAAGGAGATTCAATTTACTTTTGAGTGAACGCTAGAGAAGGCAGTGAGACGCAACGAAGAGGCAACCATAATTGAATATTATCAACTGTCGTGGTTTGCATGGTTTTCAAGTCAGTTCATGATAAAATTGTACGAATCAAAATCTCACTCGGTAAAGATGCTATCTCACACTAAACCTAAATTTTAAATAACTCCTAGGATAATTTTACATCCTTTTTAGTGTTTTTAAAAAGCTAAAATGACTGGTACATGTAGCTATGTTGCCTGTTTTGCAGAAGATGATTGGGAATTTGGTCACAGAAAACTAGCAGGTTTGCCAGTAGAAGATGAAGCTTCAGAAAGAGCCCAATTTGATGAGTGGCTTAAGAAAAAGGGGCTTGGATCAACAGGTGACGGTCCTGAGGCAAAGTTTGTAGGAAGAAACATAGAGGAAGATTTTGAGGATGAGCTGGATCGAGAGGAGGTAAGCTTGTATTTCTGGTTGAGGGTGGTAATACAGCTAGATGTTTGTATACACATGAACAACTTGCTTTTTGTTTTGCATATTTTCGTAGTTACATGTAAGAACTTTTCAAGCCCGTCTGATTTTTACTTTCCTTTTCTTGGATAGATTATATTTTGTATATTTTGAGTACGTTTTTTTTGTTATATTATTATTATATTATTATTATTATATTAAAACATGTTTTTGAGGTCAACCAAAGATTTGCAAAACTTCACTGATAAGTAGCCAATCCTTATTAGGCAATTATTTGTTGAATTTGACAAATCATTTTTCCTTATTGCAACCTTTCAAATGCATGTACAATACTTATAAAATACAAGAGTGGTTGATGTGATAATGTGCCAGTATGGTAGTGGCATAGTCTTCCAAGGTTTTTAAAGGCTAATATTAAGTATAAACAAGCCCTCTGAGCCAAGCTGGCCAGATAAGCAATTTCCTGTGATTTTGTTACAATGATGTGCTGATAAGGAATACATTTTAAAACATCTGTAAACAGGAAATTCTTGAGCAGAACTTGACAAAACTGGTAGATGATGATGATGGTGACTCTATCCCTGTACCTAAAACTTCTTCCAAGTATAAGGTAACTTGTATCTATTACTTTTAAACCACCTCTTGTTAATTTGATTTACATGATTCCTGACTCTATAGGCATATGGTACAGCTCAGAGGTACATGGCCCAGAATGCGCCTGAAAAGCATGCTTAAAGTTTAAAACACACTCAAAAAATGCATGCACATTACACTGTAGCCAACTTCAGTGTAATATCCAATAGTGCTCATTGCTCTGCTTACATCATTGTTGTATTCACTTAAATTGATGCTGCTACTTTTATTAGATTTTTAGTCTCTAGCATCAATAATGCAGCATTCACTCTTAGGCAGGGTTTGTTTCAATATCATATTTCTCCAATTGCAGACAACAATTACAATAAATCATTTTTAGATATTACATGTGTGTAAAACAGAAAATTGTTTCAAGTTGTATTGTCCCCCTGAGATACAATGGTAATTTATTAGTGTGTGTGTGGTAAGAAGGATGTGGCAGGTTACTAAGCTGTATGGTAACCATACTTATAACATTTTCTTATTATCATCCTGGAATGCAAACCATGCTCTTGTAATTTGATTAAGTGTCTTTTCAATTGTAGCTTTTATGGTAATTTTACTCCTTTCTGTAGCAGTTAGAGGAGAGTAGTGTTAAAGTGAGTAAATCCAATACTTAAACAAAATAGCCTTAAGATTGTTTTCTTTTTGTACAGGACATCAAGTACCCATCAGGCACGAATCCAGCTTGGGATGGCACATCACCTCTCTCAAGTCCAACTTCAACTACTTCCTTACATGATCTGGTAAACTTTTAAGTCTTGAGCAGTTGTTTGTGAGCAATGAAGATATTATAATTACAAAGTCTCATTCATAGTGAAAACATAATTTATGGATTCCATTACCAAATACATACAAGTATATTGCGACTAAATTAAACCCATTTTTATTCTGAATAGTGTCCAATGTGTCGACACTTGAATCTTTAATTTGTTGGTTCTATTTTTTTTAAGATCTCTCCATCTTCAAATATTTGGGGATCACCTAAACTTGACAAGGAAAACACCAACAAAGGACCAGCTAATACTCAGTCACCATTGACAGAGCTGCTTAAGGCAGAGGGCAAAAAGAAACATGTGCAGAGAAGGCCTTTTTCACCAGCCTTTGAGGTATGTGCAAAGCCTGTAGAAAACATGAATTTTTTTAAAAATCAATAATCCTCTCTTGTAGCATGAAAAGTTTGGCCTTAATGACAATAGTCCCCATTTTACAACAAGGTTCCACAAGTATTTACTTCCAAGTTTTACAAGTAGTAACCATTTCATGGCCTACATGTAAAGTGGCCAAATAATGATTGTGAAAAAACATTTGCATAGTAATGTTGTAAGTAGAAGTGTTAATTAGTTTGTAGATTTTACTTGTAACATGTTAAACCAAGGATCCTTAATAGTTTTTCAGAGACACATGATTTGTTATATGAACATGTACATGTGCTACTTAGTATTGTGCTGATCCTCAGCTTTCATTGCCTTTATAGGACGACTCAATTGTCCAGGCTGTGCCTCGCCAAACTCTGGTACCACCAAGTCGTTTCACAACAAAGCCTCATCCAGTTAATGCTATCAAATTAGAAGATCTGGAAAAGGAACTCACAACAGGTCGTGAAGGTGCCCCTCAGCAAGTTCCAGATGCAGTTCGGCAAACACCTCATAATTCCATGATAGGACGACCACCTCCTGGCATTCCTAGGCCAATGATGACACCCCCAGGTTTCTCTTCTCCAGCACCAAGGATGGTTAGTTTATAATACTTTGTCAAATTTCTACCTGAACAAAATATATGGCCTTTTGCAGTTAATGATTCTGTATTTAAAAATTGAAAAAAAATTTATTGAGGGAGAAGATGCCCTTTGGACATCCAAAACAAAGCAACTTCACTTGAATGAACATTTAGATGCCACAGCACAATTTACTTTCCAGCTAGGTGTTTTTTGTATCATGTGACTGCCTTCTACTGTTGGTCTATCACACTAACATATGCTCTAGCCCAAAAAAGTGTCCTTTACTACTGCAAAAGGACACTTTTTTGGGCTAGGGCAATCTGTCTTCCAAAGTACATTTTATACCCAGTTACCATCTTGCCTGAAAATTGCAAGATAATGTGGAACCATGAATTATACATTGTAGTGCAGAGAAAGCATGGTATTGCACTTTTCTAAACATATATTGAGGGAGAAAAATGTGTGTGGGTTTCTAGATAATCTCCTCAGGTTCCTTACTGTAGCACTGAGGCTAGTCTGTTAGTCTTGCTAAGGATGATGCCAGGTATCCATGTGGCACATGGCATTTGGTAGAACTCAGTTTGGTGATCTTAGAATTTTCTGGTCACTAAAGAGAATTTTGTGGCTCCTAAACAGATTTCTCAGTTCAGACCTCAGCACATAATTATGAGGCCATTAAAGAGAATACTTTCAGGTTACTGCACAAAATTCTGAGGCTACTATATAGTTAGACCTCTCAAGCTAGTCCACAGGATTCTCTGGCCACCACATTCCCAAGCTACGTGTGCTATTCACAATTTTCTGGCTACTAAGTTTAATTCTCATGCTACTGCACAGAATTTTCACATTACCACAAAAAATTATTAGGCTTTTAGGAAGAATTTTGTGGCTACAACTGTACTTCACCAAATTTTTTGGCTACAACACAAAGTTCTCTGGCTAGAACTTGCAATTATCAGGCTTTGTAGTACTATGCAGAATTGTCAGGGTTGAACACAGAATTCTTGGGTTACTACTCTGAATTTTCTGGCCAATTTTCAATTGTGTTCATGAGCTGTTATTTTGTGCACCCTTACATAGTAAATTTTCCCCCATTACTTTTCATTATTTTCTTGCTACCTCATTTCTTAGCAAAAACTACAGTAGTGTTACTTAGCACTCCTATGGGTACACTATTCTGAGGCTATTAATACTGCTGTGCAGTAGACTAAGGCATTGGAAAAACTTGAGAATAATGCATCTTATCATGTTTACAGAGTACCCCACGGATGCCTCCCCAGATGTTCCAACAAAGACCTAGTCCATCAAAGCATCCAATGCCAAGTATGTCTGGAATGACTGGAATGCCTAGAATGCCTGGCATGCCCAGTATGCCTGGTATGCCAGGCGCAAGCCCTCACTTGATGAGGACACCGAGAACACCACATTATCCAAGACATCCATTTCCCATAGTCCACTCAGATCCTGGTAAGTTCTATTGCAGTAAGCTACAGTAAATGAGCCACGTTGATTAAATACCGTAGCACTTTTTATGAACTTTTGTGGGTACAAGATGTACATGTACTATATGCAGGATCCTTACAGTTTGTTTTGTCCTCAGCCCAAACTGTATGTGCTACTTGGTATAGACAGTCAAAAAGGTACAGCCCATGCTAAAACTCAGTTGCATTTTGCATTTAAGGTCACCTGATGATGAGGGGAGGTATGATGAATTTCCCAATGAGTCCACATCACCAAAGGTTCAGTAGCCCTCAGTTTCCAAACAGAAGATTTCAGGACCCAAGACAGAACTATCAAAGGCACCAGTATGATGGCAGAATGTCAAATGATAATCGCTCACCCAGACAGCAGGACAGAGGGGAACACCATCACCAGTTTACTGATTTAGAGAAGAAAATTCACAGTATTTTGACAGCAGCTGAAAGCGGCCCGAACCGATTTGATCCCTACGCTGGTCTAATGACAAGACGAGAGAAAGAGTGGTTGATCAAGATTCAGCTTCTTCAGCTCACTAGCAATGAACCAGAACTAGATGATTACTATTTTCAGGTTAGATATGTGTCATGATTGAGTTAAACCTTTTTACTTCAGTGTAAACCAAATGACTATAGGTTCAGTGCATCAGTCGCCTTGAATTATCAAGCAATTAGGGTTCGGCACGTGTTTTTTGTTATGCTGGAATCAATGAACAATGGGGTTACTGAGGTACCTTTTTAGGAATACAAGGTGTTTCGTAGAGGCTGAGGTGTGACAACCTTGAATGTCTTAAGTTGGTCCCAACTTGATAGCAAATATTTGGGAATTTAAAAATTTTAAAGAAACAAATCTAAAAGTACGGTTGTAGCGATATATTTTTAAAACAATTTTTAACCACCTTTAAGTGAAGAGAACCTGTTACTTGAACAAGTCCCTCTGAAGAGGTGCTTGACAATTACGTGTCCCAATTCAATATTTATATACAGTAGTTACATATAGCATACTATTTATAACTTTATACACTGTAGTTCTTGTTCCTGGTTAAGAATTGGTCACAGAAGTGTACATGTATGAAGTTGTACAATCCAACTGTGGCAGGTGAAAAATGATTTGTTTTGCTGTTTCTGCTGGATCATCTCTAGACATACACCAGACGGAAGGCTGCAAAGGAACGAGCAAAGCAAAGTGAGGGTGTACAGCATGATGTTGAAGATAACAGGGCAAGTAGAGCGCCAAGAAATATGGCCTTACCTCAGTTTGAACGAGAGAAAAAGAGCTACACCCCATGTAAGTACTTTTTTTTTTCCTAAAGCTACAGGGATAAGGCAGAATAACTTAATTTTATCATACAGATACTCTACTTGCATATTGAGAAAATGGAGTCAAGGCTAAGTGGTGAAGTCGTTGGACCCAAGATGCAAATAAACTTTCCGTTCGTGTTTTGTTTGTTTGTCTGTTTTTTTTCGGTCTAGATCTTTTGCGATCGGCGTTCAGAAAAGCAACCGCTACAACAGATAAGTTAGTCGTTTTACAATATTTCTCCCGGGAAGTTTACCTGTAAGCCTCTGCTGTTTTTGCTCAAGCCAGTTTATCGGGCTCGTACCCAACAAATCGAACGTGGCGCATTCATGAAGTGGGTAGTTAGATTTCTGCCTTTTTTATTTATCTTTTTTCCATTTTTGTAGTGGACTTTCAAGGTTCTTTAGGGAAGGTTTCTTCATCATCTGTGCAGCATCCAAGACAAATGGTGGATCTAATGCACCTCAGTAAAGCATATGAACAGGTTAGGACCATACCCTTCCAACTGAGGAAGGTTCCCAGAATGAATAGAAAAACTAGTGTGTTTTGAAATTATTCCACTATTGTCGGATTTACTCGTTGTTTTGGGAAAAGTTAGCCTCGTACCCTCATGCCCTCATGCCTTCGTGCATTCAATAATTAACTGAGACCAAAGAGAAGCATTTTGCCTTGAAACTTTTAAATTGCATTTATTAGCAACTCAACTCGTTACTTGAGTTAGGAGTGTGTTGTGTGTCGTTGTATGTATCAGTTTTCCTCTCACAAAGTATGATTTTCCTCTGGATTTTTGGATTTCTTTTCATCTGCTCACCTTAATGAATTTTTACTTGATGATGATGTAGTTTCATGCGCTTTTGCCTATGGTCGACACTTAACGCTTGTAAATGCTCTTGTTGACCACATTCACGTGTTAAATGCGCTTTTGCCCACCGTCGACACTCAAGGCTAGTAGATGCTCTTGTTGACGACATTCACTTGTCGCTGTTCCCGAAGGCTTTCGTTTCAACCACTTAATACTGTAATTGGAGCGTTTTCATAATGCCTATCGTTGGAAATCTATTTCAAAAGTCTCCGTTTGCGTAGCATTTTCAGCGTTTTAATGAATGTGATCAGCGAAAACGCGTCAAGAAGTATGCAGTTTCGAAAGAAGTAGCACTGGTGAGGACAAAGCTCAAGACTGTCAAAAACTTTTTTCGAGAGATTTTTGAGCTTTCTCTAATCGGGTTCCTATGAACAATGCTTAGTATTGATACATGTAACTTATGCACCAAAGATTAATGGAACTAAAAAAATTTCATTCAACCAGGAAAAGCAAGGAAGTTCAGCTCCTTTGAAGGACACGAAGCGACGCAGCCAGCTCTTACTTAACATTGAAAAGGTTTTTATTTTGTCTTATTTTCCACTTTCGAAGTACACGTTTTATCTACACTTTGTCTCATTCAGTCATCTTTGTAGCCCATGTTACTCCTGTGAGTGATTTTTTCCTTCTCTGTTTCTAGAGTTACGATTACCTTTTGAACATTGAAAGCTTAGAAAAAAGGTTAATTCATGTGGAAGAAAAAGAAAGGTAATAGAATTTTAGGTGTTCTGTTCAGTTTTAAGTAATAATGTGGTGTACAAAATGGTGAATTAGCATCCTGCAGGATTCCAAACTTAAATTTTTTTTCAAATCGCCATTCGGCGACCTAAACTCGTGAATTGGTTTCCGTTAATGAATTTAAACGCGCGCCTCTTCCCCCCACACACCCCCCCACCCCCCCCCAAAAAAAAACAAAAACAAAAACAAAAACAAAAAACATGCAATCAAACAAACTAACAACAAAAAACTAACAAAACGAAAACGATAAAAAAAAAAAGTGAAGAGAAAAGAAAAGAAAACCAAAGTGCTCTGTGAGCAAACTCGTGAATTGACAGATGACTATGTGTTTTAAACATGTATCATTTTTGTCTCTGGTTCAAAAGAAAAAGGTTGGTTGAAAAGTGAAATTTACTGTCTATCATTGTAAATATTGGATAATTAAGGCAATACTGTCTTAATGAAAATATTAATGATTCCCTCTTTATCAAATGAGACAAACGGGAACGAGTTTTGAGTGATATAACTGAGCCCAGACTGCCACCGTCATTTTGGATTTCCGCCTGGGTAGATTTTGGTCACGTGCTAGGCAATGTATAATCAAGAGCAAGATAGAATTTCATTTCAGGCCTATGGTGTATGACTTTCGCATTTTAGTACGTAATATTTATTTTGAATCTTCAAATTGTCTTGAAACTTAAAATAAAATTGTTCTTTAAAAATTTCCTGAAACTGAAACTGTCAAAGCTTGGAGCGCTTTGTACTTTTTATTTTTTGACGTTGTTTGGCTCCTTACTGTGTTGAAATGCTGTCACATTTTTTCTGATGTTGTTCTATCCTTTTTTCAGGAATGAACTCTATGAAGCCAGGCAAAGCAATGTGAAGAAGCTGTTCGATCTCTTAAACCTTTCTACGGAAGGTTCCTCAAAGTATGTTACGATATGTAGTCTATGCACCTGTTACCTATTCTCAAAAATACATGTACAGCCTTTGTCCTGAATTTTTCCCTCTCCTTGCTAATAAAGTGTTGCAGCATTTGCATGTGGCTGAAATACCATTAAGATTCATGAACACAAGCAAGTAAAAAGTTAATCTTTGCCACATAGCTTTGATGTTAAACTTTTAAGAAACATAATGCTTACGTTATTTTGCCTCCACTACTTAATTTGGCACACAAAGTGATGATATCTGGGTGCGAAGGCTGGCCAATTAATGACCTCAAATTACAAACTACAGTCCCATAACGTTCCCCGCGCCTCGCACCCGTCTCCAGCCCTCCGATACGTGACGGAGAAATAGCAATTTATGCTAATTAGAAGTAACACAAATTGCATTTTACAATATGTGGATCTAATTATGAATTGAGTTAATTGATTTTGCTTTCCATGTTTCCCTCAGGGATGATGACGAACTCTTTGTGCAGTTCATATCAGTCCATAAAGGAAAACGTCTTCTCAGTAGAGCTCTACCCTTATTTAGCACGGTAAGGCGTGAGGTCGCGGTTTTTGGCCCGCTGTAGCTCTGTTCTCTGTTAATTCTTTTGATAATCTTTGCCCAACCTCCTTGTGTGGTTTTCATGACAGGTTCAAATGGAAGCTGTGTTGATGGCAATTGCTAGGAATATTTTGGCACTAATAAAAAGAGACAACACTGAACCGGTGAGTAAAGAATCAGCTAATCAACTATTACAAAATGTTAACTTCAAAAGATGAAATTAAGTCAGTGGTCAGTGGTCTTAAGGAGATTTGAGATTGGCGGCTGCTTTGGTACCGAATCTATCCCTAGAAACACCGTCATTCTCTTGCAAAGAGGAATAACTGAACTCTTCAATTGAATAATTGGCAGTTCGGAATGGAACACCCGCTCGAGCTTTGGTGGAGGGTGGTTGTTAGTGAAAGAACGCATATCATCTCCTTTCCCTGAAATTATATTAATGGTTAGGAACTTTGAGTATGATCGCTTTCACATTTTCTCGTTTTAATACCTGCAGAGCTTGCAACATTTAATGGTTCCTCTTAATCGAGCTTCTGAACTGGCATCTCCTACAGTGGTAATTCAGTGTCTTAAGGACATAGTGTCTACACCTGGTATCTCCGTCTCACAAGGGTCATCACTTAGTGCAGTTCTTCTCAATCAGGTCATTGTGAAAGTGACATACAGTGTATCATCGTAATAGTTTATTTTGTATCGCTGCCTGGTTTGGTCAGTTGGTAGAGCGTCGGATTGGGGTTCGTTCCTTCGACCTTAACAATACTTAGGTCTTAAAAAGACGTGGTAGAATGTGTTGCCTTGGCAATTTACTTGCAAATTGTTATATTGATAATAAATCGTTGCCCCGTAGCCAGCATCTTCACTGCTACGGTTGGTTGTAGATATTAAAGAACCTTGACACCTCCACAATGTATAGTTGGACACGGCACTGTTGGTGTTGTGGTTCGGTCTTTGTTCGTGTCCAATAAGGTTCTTGAATAAATACTTGTAACGATCTAGCAAGCAAACTAACAATAGTACATGTAAGTGAATAGCTCGGGCAGCGTCAACGTTTGGGGGTCAAGCTCAAGAGCAAGTTGCCGCAAACTTGTTTGTTATAAGGGTCCGAACTTTATTAATGTAGAAACTTCACCCATGTTACTATGTGCTTCTTTCTGCGGAATGTATCACTTGAAACGAGGAACTATTGCATGATAATTGTTATTATAAAAGTGATATGCAACCAATCTTCGAACAAACGATTTTATTTGTGGCGATAATTTTGGTGAAGAGGATATCAAGCTGACGTCACCTGTTTTTTTTCAGTTTGGCGTAGGACTCCTGAGCATACTGCTAGGGAGAGCAGTTGTGATTTCGAACAGTCTCACTGAATCAGATGATGAGATGCTGAAATCTTGGTACAGTACAATATTTTCTATTTAATTCATTCAACTTGCTCTTAGAGATACTAAGAGACATGTTCAGACAAAGCATTGTATCTTTGTAAAATATAATTTCTCCGAAACCGATTTATTAATTATGGTAAAATATGAAGTGTAGGGAAACTCACATAATCTGAAGCTCTGTGAAGTGTGCACCAGTGATACTTGCTTTATGAGTGGACACTAAATTAACTTGCTGAGTTTTCCAATTCTCAAATACATGAAGCTTACTTAATTTAATTTTTGTTTGGAAAGTATTCATCAAACTTAGGTTTCCTCTGCATCTAGGAAAAACACCAAGGTTTCGCTTTATCATGGCATAGCAAGAGATAAACAGTCGGTTTTGGAAAAGCAAGAAATATTTTATTGTTATTTCAAACAAATTCACTTTTAATGTGTAGTTCCTTGATTTTTTGGTAAGGTTGAACATTGTTTCTCAAGTTGCAAGCAAGTTTCAGGACATACCAGTAAAACAGCTGGGAAGAAACCTTGAAGCCGCCGACAGATTAGTCGCGCTATTGTCAACCTGTACTGATGTACAGACTAAAGCTTTATTACAGGAACACTTAAGGTCTGGTACAAAACATTAATTCATTTTTTGAGTGAATTTTTGGTACATGTATTCTATGTGGTGTAGTTTTTCACAAGGCTGTGCTTCAGCATTACGGTGCCATAGGCAACTAGCTTAAGGCACTCGGCAGTTCTTTTTAAGGCTCAGGTAGTGCCAATTTTGTTGCTTTTTTCTAACTGATGTCTGTGTTTTCCCTTAGATTGGCGGCTTCTGCTTAGTCAGAAATCTCAGCTTAGGATGTGACACTGCTGTTTTGGAATAGACAGCAAATAAACTCAAGCTAATTGAATTGAGAATGGTTTTTGCGCGAGCTGTGACTCGCCATATTATGCTTTTTGTTTGTTATTATTGTATAAACTTTGCTCTGTGAAATGTTGTAAATACTGTATCACCAATTCTTGCCAAATTTCTATGTAAAAGGAAGTATACACTCCCTAAAAGTATAAGTGGGTTATCATGACAAAGAAGTTGTCCGCTTAAGCAAATTATTAATGTAACTGTTGTCGGACTACGGAACGCACCAAGGTAAAAAGTTACCCCTGTG